TCAACACTCTCTTCTTTATTGTGAAAAATTTGCTGCTTGGGAAATTATCTCTAATAGAACCAATAAGATAACAAATGTGAACGATTCAAACATTTAATTTAAAGAATTAAAATTCTCTCAAAATATCTCATGTATTTAGTCAAATAAATTTTGTTTTGTGTAATTGTAAACACGAATAGCACTAAATAGCAATTGCATCCTTAGATATTAAAATGGCGAAACCCATCAAGGCTATCTACATCCAGTCTTCCCCGGGATGACACAAGGAAGAAGCGAAGGAGCTTTGACTGCATTCTTCCCTTAGAGACTGCATGCCTGGCATTTTCTAAATATGTCGAAAACGCTGCAACCGGCGCTAATCTCCTTTAGTGTTACCTGCACCGGTTTTACGATCCTGACTTTTCCAAGATGCAAATAGTTGTTGTAATCACACATGTCGCATATTGCAAAATATATATTCGTTTGTCGTTCTCATTTTCGGTCACTGACCCGGCAGTCAAAAGAAGCTGAGCAAAGCAGAAGCCTCACTAAGAATGTTTTCTTTCGTTTTCACTTCGTACTGTATTTTGTAGTGCAGGCAAAAATGCACGTTATCTATTGGGAGTGATGAAGACAGTAACTGAATTCTAAATATATCAAGAACATTAGAAGTAACATGCGTGAAAATGCGACTTTCGAAAGTATTATCGGACAACAGAAAACGACTCACTAGAAAAACAAATGCATGAACAATAGTGTATGCATATACTGGATATCATGTTTTAATTCATTGATAAAGCGTGCATGTATATAATTTAATGATTATTATTTTTATTGCTGAAAAATATGAGTGTGATTACTGAACCTATGCTACCTTTCTTTTTACCTAAAATGTCAAATATTGGAGAAATGACCATTATTTTCGTTGAATTTTCAATCGTAGTTAATAATTTGTTACACTAATGCGTATTTAATAAATATACTACAACAATGTTCAATTCGTTGGAAAAATTTAGCATATGAAGCACTGAATGAAACGTCAGGAGACTAGGCTGGATGTGACAGTTACGCAAACCTGTTTGAGTAGTCATGGCCCAAGCGATTCTAGGGATCGGTTCCTTATTCTCTGGAAACAATTTTTATTTATGTTGCTTTGGGTTCTCGTTACAAAATCCGGCTGCTCGAGAACTCTCGTGCACAATGGGTAAATGTAACTCCCGGGAACCTGTGCCTGAAGGCACTGGAGTGCTCGCTGTAGTGTGGCCACTCGAAGGGAGCGCCCGCGCGGCTGGCGACCGGTCGACCGAGCGGGTTCGGCGCGGGACGGAAAGCGCGCGGCTGCCTATTAACTGGACCCCGGCACAAAAATAGCGCTGCGAATGATCGTCCGCTTGATGGAGTACAAGTCGTTTTCTTCGTCTTGCCTATATTTACGCTTTATCGGAATTTTAATAAGCGTAATGGGGCAATAACGGAAGGTCCAACGGGTGTTGGTTGTCGGGTCTTCCCGCTCGGAGCGACCAACACGCGCTCTACTTTCGTTTGGTCCTTTTTTGGCAAGTGCGCATCGAGGAGCCAACGATGGAACATCATATTCGTCTCTTGACGGATGGATATTAATGGCATCTTTGGTTCCGTATCAAATAAAAATTTTATTAACCAATAGATCTTGAGTGATACTATTGCGAATCATGAACGCAAATTCAAGTTATTTACGAAACTTGTAGCGAAAGTCAGTCTTTGGCGTTCGAATAATTTATTGGCATGGAATTTTAAAATCAATATGCCGAAGGCACTTTTATAAGAGTTGCGTGCATTATATTAACTCTCTCGCATTCAATTTACGTATTGTATACCGTGTATAATATACTGTAATGCTGCGGGGGAAAACGCGATTTTTCGCGACATAGATCTTGTATTGTGAGACCCTAATATCTAAAACATGGATAAATCTAGTTCATATATGTCGAAAATCCCTTCGGAAGCCCGTGATACCGAAAAATTGGTAAGCGTCTAAACGGCTGTCTGTCCGTCCATTCGACGATATGACCTGAATCCTTCAGACAATTTGCTTCCAAATTGATGTCCCATACGCTCTGGGCGAATTGGCGGAATGGTCGGTTCGGCGAATTGGAAACAAATATATTGATTTTCGGGGGTAATGAAGCGTTACATTTTTTTAAAAAATGACTCAATTTTTTTTATTAAAATTCTCGTTCGGATGGCGCAAAGGACGCTTAAAAATGGCGAAGAACTCTATAATTTTCGAAAACTGCAATAGTTCTTAACTTTTTCGGCTTCAAATACATTATTGAAAATATAATTTTTTTCTTCAATACAATCTATTCTTTCAAGACGTCTTTAAGTAACGTCATGTACAATTTTTCAATAATATTAGTAGTTTTCGCATAATTTTGAATGAAATATAGGCAATTATTAATCAATTCTTTCTCAATTTTTTCTTGAATTTTAATAGTACGCTTGTAAACACGACATAGATCCCAATTTCGACAAACTCGCTGTATTTTGGAAAATTGCAAAAAATTGTAATAGCTCATTGAAAATAGTATTGATGCTAGATATTTTTATTAATGAAATATGATATAAAATTATACTTTTAAATAAGGTCATGTACATTTTTAAAAGGAAGTTTTTTCGCGTAATTTTTTTCTTGACGTTAATGGAATTTATTAAAATTTAGAAGAAACCGCCACAATTTTTTTCTCTTTTTACCTCGTTTAGAACAAAGGATGCTTAAAACATGGCACAGGTCTCATTTTCCTACAAATCTCTGAATTTTTGGAAATTACAAAAATTGCAAATAATTTCATAAAGTATGTGTGATTATAGCACCAGTAGTTTATCACGAAATCATGAAAACGTATAGGTATATAGTATTGTTACTTCATACGTACAGGTATATAGACATGTTACTTCATATTGCGAGTATTTTACTTCGACGTACCCACATTTTATTATCTTCACCGTGAAGTCTTGCAAAATTCTATTTTGCTTTACATGTAGCGCAAAGTAACATTTTCCCATCAGTGGTTGAAAGAACTGCAATATCCATTGACAAGTGAAAAAAATTCAAATGCGGTTTTTATCAAATCTAGAAATCATTTCCTGAGATGAAAATAGTTAAAAAACAATTTTTGGAGAAAATAAAAAAAAATAATTCAAATCTGCATTAAAGTTGGCAATTACCTACATTTGTGAAAACGTTAAACTTTAATGTTTTAATAATGTTCGCAAATGTAATTTGGAGGTATACTTGTCAGTTCAGTCGCTGTTATGACACTAGCAAATGATGGTACGTATATTCCTAATTATTATTTAAGTCAAAATGTTATTTGACCCGTAGAAAAGATATGACAATATTTAACTTAAAATGAGTGCCATTTAGGGTTGTATTTGCTGAGATTCCCTTCCCCGATAATATCTGGTCGTGAAGACTTCATTGCTTCTCAAGGTACGTGATATTAAGTTGCGAAAAACTACCGAAGAAATCAACTTCTGACATCAACAAAGTGATTGGAATAATCTTCTTTGTAACGGACTAAACTCTACCCTTGCGCCTGAAAACGATAAACAATGTCCATGGCAACAGATTTTGTCAATTTGTTTCATAAGAGAACGTATGTTTGTATTTATTTTCTCCGACGCAAGTTTTGAACTGTGACCTGAAGCTAATTCGTTCTGTGGACGTGACAAGGCATTCTAATACCTTTGCGAAAGGAAGTGCAGATGAATACTTAAAAGACCAAGCCCCGCACAGCCCAGGAGCTTAAATAACCACTTTGCGGTGGTCCAGGCGCATTCTGAGTGGCATTTCTCAAAAACATGTCGCTCTAGAATGACGGTGAGCGCGAAACCATTGTCAACACAACTACCACCGCCACAGTCATGTCTACCACCCGCATAGCTCTCACTATCGCAGCCACAGGTACCACAAACAAAGCCGTCGCCGCCACTACCGCTCCTGCCATCGCCACCGCCGCCACCTCGGCTACAGCCACGTGAGCTATAACACTGTCACAACCATAGCCGCCGCCGCCGCCGCCTCCGCCCCCGTCACCGCTAGTGCCATTGGCGCTACCGCAGTTCCTATCATCGCCGCCGGCGCCATGCGCCACGCCCTCTTTTCGAAACCGCGCTTACGCCAGCCAGCGCCGCGCCGCCCGCCGCTCCTCTGCTGTTTCTCAGAGCTGATCGGTCTATGATATACAGTAATAGGGACACAATTGGTGTCACCGAGTTCTTACGGAGCCTATCTAATGAAAGAATATCGTCCGTTTTACTGGCGTAATAATGCAGCGTTAGAGGGAGAAACGTAGATGGCGATCGTGAGGTTTCGCCCAGAATAGGCGCCCTCGTAATTGCCCATTACCCATTATGTACGCTGTAACTTGTAATTGTAGCACGGAGGTATTGTTTCTCGAAGGAAAATGAATGGCGTAATAAAATTGTAACTGGATTTGTTCGTTATTTGTGTTAAGCCTGAGAAACATTGATTGGTGTACAATATTATAGGAATGCAAATGCAAGTTTAATGAAGAATCGTTAATCTTGTTAGTAAACGTGCTGTCATTGACTGAAAACAAGACTGCTGCTGCATCGATTGGAAACCCGTGATTATATCGTGCATTTATTTGACCACTGCATTAAGGATGCAACTATATTCGTCGAAAATGTCTTTCGACATTTAAGATACCTCAAAACGTGATATTCTTTCGGGCTGTACTGAATAATTGAATACCTCCGGGCTAAAATGTTATAACCCACATATTAAAAAACGAGCACACAGCACTGTGCAAAATGGATTCTAACTATGTTGGAGAGGATCTCTACCAAGAGAATGTTGGCTAACTAAACTTTACGATAATTACTAAACGTTATTTAATTTAAAGAATTAAGCAATTTCCATTGATATTAGGGTTGCAATCAGTTTTAAGGAAAGCTAAGGCAAGTGCGTTGTGTGTGTTACAACCTTTCTGCCCGGAGGTACTCAATTTTTAGTGTTAACCCAATTGAGAAGGTAGGAATTCCTTTGGAGCGCTGGCCGGGTGGGCGTTGCGTAAGGGAGAGCGCACCGCGGCGCGTTTGGGGGGCGCGTGCGGCGGCTGGCGTTGGCGGTCGCCGGCCTCTCTCCGCTCGCGAGGCGGCGGCGGAGGAGGAGGAGGAGGGGGGGCGCGGGAGGGCGAGCGGCAGGTTGCGGCGAAGGAGAGGGCGGCGGATGCTGCAACAATCTCTCGCGCGTCGGCGCCCACCAGCGAGGGAGGCGGTCGCGCTGGCGGCGGCCGCTGTGAATCACGCGCAAGGTCGCGAGCCGCCGCTTTCGCCTGCTTGCTACCACGAATTCTCCACCTCCCTCGTCGCAAATGTCTGCGTGGGTCGACGCACGCAATGACACTTCAGTGAGCGGAAGTCCGAGTTGATTAAATTTATCTACTAAACGTAATTCCATATAATAAATAAATAATTATACTAAGCGCATTACTTACAGATTCAAATAGTCCGACTGCAATGTAATTGTTGTAGTGGATTGAGTACGTACCTTGTGACGTACAATACCCATCTGTACATTCGTTACTTCATAATTCATATAATAATAATAATAATGAGTTAAGACGTTTTTAAAGCACGAAACATTGCGTTTGATTGTGTACCTTGGCCGCCGCTGCCGTCGCCGTCGCCGTCGCCGTCGCCGTCGCCTCCGCCCTAAGAGCGGCCGCCGCGCCGTGGGCTGGGTTGGGCTGCGCTGGGCTGCGCTGGCGTGGGCAGCAGGTGCGCGCGCATTCCAGGGAGAGAAGGGAAGGGAAGGGAAGGGAAAGGAAGGGCCCCAGCGCCGCGCCGGCGGTCCACGCGCTGTGGCTGCAGCGGCCCCGACGCCGCTGGCAGACATTTGGCTGGCCCAATTCCACTCTCGTGTTAGCACTGAGAAACGGGTGGACGCTTTGAAGGATTTTAGAGCCCTGCAAACGTCTTTTGATACTTGACGGCGTTTTGGTACATTGGTATGTTTCCATTCCCTTTCCTTATAACTTCAAATGCAGTTCTTTTAGTGACTCCATTTAATATCATTTCATTTCGTCTTCTTATGACTTTTGTCTCCTTCTGTTCTGTATCCAAACACCCTCTGTGTTTTACAACCTGCTCGTCCTCTATGCATGGATTTCTTCTCTAAACGTATCAAAAAATTGTCTAACTTCAACGTGTACATATTTTACGCCACTCACTTTTATATTATGGGAGAAATTATTGTTTTTGGAGTCATTTAAACTTTTCCCCTGGGCTCTAAGAGTAGAGTTGGGTCATATGGCCAACTTATTTAGCTCAAATGTAGTGTGAGGAGAAGTAATAGTAGAATTTCGCAATAGGTTGCTAAGCCTGTATCTTTAGATTTGATCTGTGCGTTGAAGCCCAAATCGGCGACTTCCTGCAGATTGCAGCCCCGCCCCGCCCCTTCCCGCCGAAACGGCCGTGGGCGGATGTGGGCACGATCGCCGATTCGGAATGAAGGGGCTCCGCGGGGGCCTGGCAGGCAAGGCCGGCGCCGAGGGCGCATGAAAGCCGGCGCGCAAATGCCAAGCGAAGCAGACGGGACAGCGCCGCGCCTCCGCGCTGGCTCCAGGGCGAGGGCGAGGGCGAGGGCACGGGAGGCGGGGAGGGGGGCGAGGCACGCAGAGGAACAAGGGGTGGCATGGAAGAGCTCGCGTGGGTGAAGGCTCGCTGCGGTATGCGAGGGTGCTGGTGTGGAAAACGATCCTTCGGCTTCGAACCTTTCAAATGCTTCTAATTTTATGGCACCACTTAGCTTTTACTCCTGCTTTTCCCTTTTTTTAAGAATGAAGATCCTCTCTAGCACTCTGTCAAACTAGGTAAAACTGAACTCTCCCCATACCCCTGCATTCACCTACACCGATCACAAATGCGTTTCTTTTTATGTTTTAATAATAAGACAAATCGATTAAAATAAATAATAAAACAAATGGCACTTACATGTGTAAGCTTCAGAATAGGTATCTCCATTCCGATGAATGGTAGGACTAGTTCAGAACATCAAGTCTAGCTGAATTAATTGAAAGTGAAATAATACGACCATTCTTCGTTTTATCTTACGCTTGTCTACATTTCAAGTGGTAATCGAAATCTTCCCGTTTCCATTGCTAAAGAGACTGGTTGAAGGCACACTTGAACATTGCTTACTCACCGCCAAATTCGGCCCCCGAGCCGAAGATGTGAGCGCAGTGCGGCACCGTCCACCAGGCTCCGAGGCCGCCGAGAAGCGAAAGTGAGTCGGCGCGGCTGCGGAGGGGAGGGCGTGACCCGGAATGCAGCGCCCCGCGTCCATCGCACGCCCCTCGCCCTCCCCGCTCCTCGTCTCAATCCTCTAAAATATCCAGGCCAAGTACAGCATTCTTCAATATACAAAAAAGGAGTACTAGTATTTCTACTATATTTATGTTTAAATAAAGGAGTAAGTCATTTAGAAATGAAAAAATGTAATAAAAACTTAAATCAGGGTGGTTACTTTTAAGCATTCTTAGCATTTTTTCTTATTTTGAAATATGAATTTGACTTACTACTTACGAACTACGAATTTATTTACTTAGTATTTACTATTATCAGTGATTAATTACGATTTTTTACCGGAAAACTGTCGTCAATGTCAATTTCCTGAAAACCGTTACAAATTGAGAATAGTCAAAGAGTCAATTAGTATAGCAAAATTAATCTTCAAATATCGTTGGTTTGTGAAAGATTGCCACCAACATTTCCAGAGTACATGCATGTGAAAACACACACTGTTCATACAAGAGTTACACCTGACGAAACGAACTCTTATATGTACTTACTTATGTTAACATTGATAGAATTGTATAAATACAAATTTATTGGATGCAATTATTATTAAAAATACTTGTATTGAAGCGAACCGTGTCATTCTACATTTATTGCAGGGTTCGCTAATTTTCCAAATTTGCTTGTAATGATTAAACGAGGATACATTTGCATTGTACAAGTAAATATTCAATTTTTTTCGCGCCCACGAGTGTGTAAACATGAGATGTCCCCGATCGAGGTGTAAAATATGTTCCTCTATGTCTTAAGCCCGTAACAGCCGTTATATCACTTGGAAAGTTTCCAACAAGTTGCCTTGCTGGTAACAGCTCATCCAAGGCAAAGCTGGCGAATTTAGAGTTTCACGAATACTCAAGATTTCAAAAAGTTCAAACAAGTCAACTACTTCTTAGAAAGTAGAGTCCCTCGCGGCATAGAACATAGAACATTTAAAAACGTTCTCTTCGTAGAACTGGATTGGAAGAAAATTCTTTGAATACTTTCATATAACGTATTTTGTACCAAATTAACAGCAAACGAACACGCACAGAAAGCTTGTTTATTGGTCCGAGACGGGCGTTGGCGTTGGCTTGTGCGTCAACGACGCGCCACTATCAGTAGAAAGGAACACCGGCCTTGGACATTGCGGGCTCCTAATGTTCGCGGATGATTTCGCTTACTATGCGAAGTCGGCGGACAAAAGGAAACAGGTGAGATATCTCCACGATTGCCTCACCGCACTTCCCGAGGGGCTGAGCCATAAAATGCTCCCCTCACTCTAAGCAAGTGCGTTGACGTCCTCTTCGTCGATGGAGGCTGACCACGATGAAGTCGTGAGTTTGGCAGGCGCGCATCTATCCTGGCAAAATACGGCGAAGTATCTTGGTGTGTTGCTTGAAAGAGCCTCGGCTGGCACGCCCACGCCAAAAACGTTAGGCAGAAAATAAATTTCCGAATCACTCTCCTACGCGCCCCCGAGCTCCATCTTACGCTCAAGCGCCCTTTTCACAGCTTGCGTGCGCTCCATTTGGGCGCTTCCGAGGTATTCGCTGCGGCGCCTCCCTCCACCCTCCGGCCAATTAGATCGCGGAAAACCGCGTGGCGCTCCCGCATCCCCTTCCCAACAATCACCCTAGAAACACCGCCGTGTTCGGGGCTCTGGATAAAAAAAAAATCCATCCTGCCCTCTGTGCCTCTCAGCCAACGACGCGGCGTCACCCGGGCAGCCAAGAAGTCATGAAGTCGTTCCGCGGCAGCCTACGTGTAGAGTTCTTCCCGGGGCTTCCAGGGCGCTCGGCGGCGTCGTTTGCTCGGGAACGAAGGCGCCGCGCATCGTGCACGCCACCGGCCGAGAGGCGACAGCGACACACATCGGCCCTGGCTACGGGAAGGACCGATACAGGTCGCCTTCACATTCCGCGCTCTGCGCCACGCCACTCTTACTACGTTGTGCGAGCAAGCAGCGGCAGCCGAACGCGGAGGGGAAGACTCGCCATCGGCCGAGGGGCGCGCGGGGAACGCGACGCCGCGCCTCACCTGCCACGCCTCTCGATGGGCCCGAGCGCCACGGACACTTCGAGCCAAGTCAGAGCCCTAGCGATCAGGAGGCGACTAGTGTAATGCAGTGAAAGTGAATGGTTATGTGCAATATAATCTTAAACAAGAATGAATGATGTGTGAATGTAAAAAATAATAATAATAATAAAAAAAGAAAAAAAATCTTAGTAGTTAGTTAAGAATTCATATTACCCGTAGGTTAAGCATGTCGAAATGAAAGTATTTTAACTGTCGCATGACAGTAGCTTACTATATCCGACCTATAGAAATAGACTCCGCCTACACATGGATACTGTGAAGGGGCAATCTAAAAAAAAAGACAGGTCTTTAAATTTCTTTTGTGTATATTTGAAATATAGAAAGCAGAATCTCCAATTTTAATGATAATCTTCAACTAAGAGCAATGTAATATATAAACGATTCTATTTAAAAACTCCTTCAATAAAATGTTATTCTCATATGTCCAACGTTATTTACTTGACACACCAAGAGAATGTTTGATCTATTAAATATCTGCGTGTTGCATCCAGTAACATCGGCCTTTGACAGCACTTCGAGTAAACTATATAAAGAACGCTCTTGGTCCCCTCAAATAGCTATTATTCCGGTTTTATACACAAAACCTTTTGGATCTTTGAAACTCGGGTGAAATGCGAAATTCTATTGCAAGATCCGGTTTTCCCAGCCCCCTGAACGTGGCTATGTACCAGTCGGCCAGTGTATTGACAACCGTGAACAAGGGCATGTTTCAGTGGGTAGGCGAGCCCACAGCAAGAAGGGCAAAGTGTATGACTCCCCTTTTCGCGTTCGCAGCGAGGGTGTGGTCGGCCCACGAGGGCCTCCGACCGGGCCCTACAACAGCAGATCCCACAGCGCGCGTGCGCCTTTTGTGTGCGGGAGGCGCTCCATGACACTTGACGGCGGGCTGTCGTAAACATTTTCTCCCCGAGTAGGGCGACGCGCTGCGGAGTACGGGAGGGGAAGGGGAAGGGTGCTCGGGGACGAGCGGTTTTTCTTCTTTGTCCCCTCCGCAGGGCCCCTGTGGACACGGGAATTGATTTTCTGTAGCTTGGATACAGCTGCGGCCTTGCGCATTAAGCCGCTAGAGGAGGGGCTTTGTCTTAATAACTAAGTTTAATATTTTAATTCTAAAGTTAATTTACCTACACTTTGGCAGTTCTAAGGTACAGTAAGATGAGTTCTTAAATTATTACTGCAAAAATTGTTCTTTTTAAATAGATCGTTCTCCCCCCTCTACATTCACACATCATTCATACTTGTTTCATTATATACACAACCATTCATTGATCCCATTCATTCACACTTCATTGCATTACGAACTAGAAAACACGGTTCGCCACGGCTCTGCCTTGACTCAAAGTGTCCGTGGCGCTCAGGCCCGTTGCGAGGCGCGGCGTGGCGTTCCATGGTTCCATCACGAGGCAGCACTGGGTGGGGTGCGGGGGTGAGGGTGACGGTGACGGTGAGGAAGGAACAAGGGCCGCTAAACCACAGCCGAATGCGTCCCCCACTATTCGAAGTAAATTCACGGGATTTTCTTCCCAAGGTTCTATCAAATAACGTGCAGATCACTTTCAAACAACACTTGATCTTAATATTAGGTGCAAACCAAAATGTGACACATCTTAAACTGTCAGAATATTAAATGACATTTTTAACATGGGTATCCTCCTAACTGAGCGTCGTAATGCTTTTCAAGATCGCCAATCCCTGTTTGAATTATGAAGAAGAAATTGGGTTTCCAATTGATCCGCGCGTTGGAGTCACCGGCCCAGTGAAGTGTGTTCAGTCTGTCATCTGGGTCGTTTGCTGGTGTATACAACCATTACACTCCTCAAATTTACAGCCAATTGAGCTACCTAGTTCCGACTCATTCTATACAACAGAGGATTGTGCATGAACAATGTAATATATAATTGGAATATACATAATTTTGGATCTTCTAATGTCAAACTTTCAGAAACTGAGATTAATAATTTCGTAATAAGTTATTAAAACACGTGTCATAATCATCCATGGCGCACTATTAACGACAATAATCAGCTTTTTAAGGTAAATAATATTATAAATGATATATGATCACCTATTAACTATAACATAAATAATGTATGATCTCCTATTAACTACTTTCAACATTAATAGACCACCTTTCACAGGACGAATGTTCAAATTTAAAAGGAAATTACTGTTCATTGGAATTTTCACAACGCAGATAAAGCCTATGATTTCGTATAGTTATATCTTACGATGCTTCTTCCATAAATAACTGAGATATCTTCGCAAAGAATAACTATAGTGGAACCGCGCAATTTGAATACACTTCGCTATCGGATACCTTTTCCTGAAACAGACTACCTTTTCCTTATCCATTAATGATCATATTTCTAACTTAAATGTCCTCTACATCAGGCATGTTTTCAAGAAACATTATCGGTGCACAAATGAGGTGTCACGGAAGTACCCGGGATCATACTACTGCCTCTTCATTTATATACTCTGTATAACAAAAGACAAGTGTGCTGAAAAGAGTGGCCGTCGAGCTGCCCTGGTCTCTTGGGCAGCCGCCTGCACCCGGGTTGCAACCGCAGCCACGCGCAATGCCTCAGTTCTATAAAGATAGGCTTGTAGACAGGATACGGAGAAGACACGCCCGAATAAAATCAAGGTAATATGTTCTTTAAAATAAAATCTGTGCCTTCATTTGTCGCGAAATTGGCCGAATTGACAATGGCGCCGAGAAACGTCACTTACATTACTTAGTACTCGCAACATCTTATATTGCAATATATGAGCGAAGACATCGAAGAGGCTAATCACTAATTCTGTGGTGAACATTTGTTGTTCGTCGTAAATATTGTTTGAAGGAAGTACAATTAAAACGATGTTAAACTCGATGAAATCAGCGAAAATGCAGTAAAAATGATGGGAAAAGGTACAGAAAAAAGCTATTAGTCGAAATCGACAATAAATGCAAAAAACAGTATAACAATGACGTTTGTCATAACATAAATTTAATTTCTCTGTTATACAGCATTTTTCTAAAATGAAAAGAAAAGGAAAAAATGACATTTCATAAAAATCCGCCCCCTAATAATTCCTTGAGTGGCAACACTTTAAGGCCCTAACGCCTTAGGCAACGCCGCCCCCGCGTCAGGTGGCTTTCGCAAGGTTAGCGGGCCCGTGAGGCGCGTGGGCGGCGGGGGATCGGGTAACGGTGCAGCGCCGCCGCTTCCCGCGCGGGGTTGCGTTTCTGAACGCGCCCCGCAGCGAGAGGAAGCACAGCCCGAGCACATTACAGCTTCTTAAAGCAACGTTCGGGTTTCCACGTTGTCGGTGGCGGTAATATCTTAAAACACTGAAGCTGCAGAATCGGTATTGCCATGTTCTCTTGCAATGGTATTAAAAGCATATTTTTATTATTTTAACACCAATAGTTTACGTTCAGCAGGGTGTTGGAGAACGAGGTCAATTACCTCGTATTTTCTAGCTTATAAGAGGCACGTATATCTTACATAACCGCTGTGCAGCAAGCACACAGTCCCTTTGCTATCATATACCACTGGCTGTAATACAAATGTTATCTGTATCAATCAGTATTGACAGAATCGATACCTGAAATGCTCTGATATTGATGTATCAATATTTTATTTTATTAGTATCATACTGCGAGTAAATATTGTATTTTGTTACGTGTGGCTAGAGTTGCAATTGACTTCCCGTCCTCCCTTGTATTTTAAATGCTATTCTTTTAGTAAATTTGTAACATATGTTGTCATTTAGCACATGACTGTCTCTGCTACGTTAATCGTTTATTTAATTTAAAGTACAAAACATGAATATCCTTTTTCTGAACGCTGACACACGCATACACGATAGATTTCCAGGGACTAAAACAAAAAGGAGACGCTCAGACCACCTTCTTCTGCATTTTGTGAACGAATCTTTTCCCTTCAATCGAAAATGGAGAGAAAGAAATGGAATTGATGTTAGCCTAAAATTATAATAATTAATGAGTTGAATATAATTTGGTAGTACAGATTTTGTTTTCCTTCTGATGTTTCGTTTCTAATGTTTTTGTTGCACTTTCTTTACAACACTTTCTTTCATCTTCACTTTATTATTTAAAAGCATGCTGGTAGGTTACTGATCTAGGTTAATCTTTATGGCTATTTCTTTCTCTTGTGATACTTGTTTTACTGTAGTATTTCTGTTACTGTTATTTCTGTACTTTACGGTACGTTCTGTTACTTCTGTACTTTACCAGTGGCACTGTTTGACCTTACTGAGCTTAATCCTTAGATCAGACGGTTAATTTGTTTCACTTATGGATTAGTAGTTGCCCAGAGCGAAATCAAGGTCGTAGTAGAACGGCCGAAACGTTGATAACTATACGTAGAACGTACCGTACTCCGCGTCCTCGATATCGTTTATACCTAGGGCGTATTCCGGAGACCCCATTCATCTACGTATTGTTTCCGACCGCGTAAGTCAATGCTTTAAATACATGTAGCAGTTTTTCGTAATTTCGGATCAACAGTTTCGCTAATGAATTCATATGAAGTAACAATTTGATTAGAATCTTCTTAATACTTATTTGAATTTTTATGCAAGAGCTTGTTTTATCCTTAGTTGTTCCATTCGAAGTAACAATTGGATTTCAAGATGCTTTACATGCAAACTACAGCGAAGAAGGATCGCATTGATGCAACCCGCGTCAGGCCCGACCATGTGTCCCGTCCAAGCGAGCACTCGAAGCGCACGGCAGGCCGCGTCCGCCCGTAATCGTTGTGGACAAGGCCCCACTCAAGTCGGGAAGCAGAAAGAAAGCAGAATGCTCGCGCGTCCGTAAGGCAAATGCGCCGCCCTGCAGGAAGCGGCCTCTCGTCTCGTGACGGAGAGCAGACGCGCGGCTGACGGCGCGCGGGTCCCCGCGGGGCTCTGGGACGTGAACGGCTTCAAAGTTTTATTTGCGTCGCCCGTTGGTGCGACGAGGAAGATGGACAAGGCAGGGCTTGAAGTTGACGCAAGAACAGTTGCCGAAGCAACTACACACGTTTTTCTTGTTGTTAAGTCCATTAGTCCATCGAAACGTCGACAACTCTAGGACGTCCCCCCGCGTTCTCGATATAGTTGTGGCTAGAGCGTAGTAATATTTCCATTTTTAATTGTTTCAAAACAAAAAAATAATTTCCTCTTTATCGTTCATTTATATGATACGTGCAAGTGTGTATAAATAACTAGGTGAAAGCATCTTCGACCGCGGCCATTTAATTCATTTTTGTCTCAGTACTCTCTTCATGTCTCAAATTATTACATTTACCGAGATATTCCAGCACGAAGTAATTAAAATTCTAACCATGAAAATTCATCTTGGATTTTTCTATAACGTGCATGGCTTGTGGCATGAGATTCGCTGAATATGTTCGGAATTTTGTCATTATCGCTTGCAAATGAATCTCTATATTTCTCATCCTATTTTCTTCTCATTAATGACTTGTTTGATAGGCGTGTAGGCGTTGATAACCTCCGACGTTTCAAGTAGTGTTCAGGCCCACGCGACTGCCCGTCTCAGAGGAGCACTGCCTTCGGAGTTCGATGCTCGGAGACGTCTATCGCTATGTGTGGAACGCCACAGCTTCCAAGAAGCGTGTTCAATTGCATTTCTTGTAAAGCAGCGCAATGCACAGACTGAAGTCCAAGGCGTGATTGATGGCAGCAATTTCGTGTCCGCGGAAGTTGCATGGCGACGAACCGAGAAGGGGACGCGGGGAACTAACTTTGCAGGCAATGAAATTGTTCCGCATCATTCGGGATAATGCATGGCCTGCTGCAAGGAGAGAATGAATAATGAAACGCCGAAAAAATCTCATACGCTTTTAGACTGGCGCAACAGGGGTTTTTCTGAGTAAGGACAGACGATCCGCCTCGAGAGCCCCGGCGCAGTCCTCTATTGAAAGCAGAACATGAAGTTTGGAAATTATTTCTAAAAAAAGACAAAAAATATGGACCCTGAATAAATTAGATACAAGAGTTCGAGTTAAAAATTTTTTTAATAAGCCCTAGCTTTTGTGTTATATTTGTTGTTATTATTTTACATTGACTATCATTTAATAATTTATCTTCAGACTACAAAAATGAAAAGAATGTCTTCGTTCATGGGTAATATTCCAAACATCGCTGGTTCACGGATGTTATGCTTTCTTTGCTGAGTTAGATGTGTCAATCCCTTTCATTAGATAGTACTGTATAGGTGCACAAGAGAAGTGATAATTCTTGTTTTGAAGAAATAGGTATAGAAAAGAGAACATTTTTACAGGTAATAATTACACGAAGATAGCTTACAAGATATCTGGTACGAAGAGCAAAACGTGTGTGTGTGTGTGTGTGGGGGGGGGCGAAATTGAACTCGGCTCAGAAGAAACGTTTTCCAGCACAATAAGAATATTTTATACTACGTCACTTTTTTGTGCACCGACGATATTATAGTCTGTAGGAATTTGCGCATCTCAATAACTCACACTTATCACGTGAAAGAAACATACCATTACATGACAGGGTCTTCTTGAGGCAACGAAATGCACAACACGGCAACGCCGCCCGGCCCGGCCCCGCCCCGCCCCGCGCTCTTCCCGTTCACCCTGACCCAGCCACGTTCTTCCCGCCAAATCTCCCGCGCGCCCGCCATGTTCTTTCATCTCCCGCCAAGCGCCTCTCCCCAGCGCCCTCTGGAATACTCCAGTTTGTTCCTGCAGAGGGCGCTGGCGGGCGCGCGTCGACGCGGCAGTGGATGGTGGATGCGCGCGCATCTGCGGGGGGCGGGGGAGGGGAAGAAATGCACCGCGCTTGGCGGACCTGTCTCGATCGCATCCAGTGGTTAATTTTTATTGTCTTTTACATCATTTCTCAAAAAGGCTGAGTCCGATTACGTCCAGTCACGCGGTTTTCCTCGTGAGTTCTATAAACTACACTGCTGTGAACAGAGCCCATTCCCTTTCATATTTGAAGATTTTGAAAGAGAAAAAGAAACACTCCTTTTAACGTTATTCATTTTATATAACTATTAATGTAATGGTGAAATAGAGTAAGGAAAGATTGGTATTTTGAAGTTAAATTTTAAGTAATTTCTTAATTTATTGAAATTGATTTCTACGAATACGGTTGTCTATTTTAAATAAGAGGGAAAATGTGGTTATGTTCTTTCCTTAAAATATGCAAAATTGAAATAAATATATTTTATTTAGATATCATACTCGATCCTAAGATTCTGCCATTTTCATCTGTTCAATGTTTTTTTCTCGATTAGTGTGAGAACATCTATTTGCTGGAAACTTAACTCAATTGTTTCCGACTTTCCGATTCCAAACATGGGCGGAATGTATTCGGGCTATGCCTTTTGAGGTAGCCAAAAACAAGTATTTCTAAAAATAATTTATAATCAATCTCAATTTATAACATTATTTACAAAAAAATAATTTGAACAATAAAAGTATAATGTAACAACTTTTTCCCGATTACTTTCATTACCACCATACAGAAAATTTATAAAACAAGTAGTTAAAGTTGGGGTGAATAATCAAGATATTTTTTAGGAAATAACTGAAATATTTTGGAATAAGATTAAATAATTAATTTATAAAAACTATCTTAGAGACGACACCTTTTGGCAATATTCTTTTTTTTTGGAAGAAATTTTGGAAGATATATTTTCTTGAAACTGTATCGGGAAGTGTTAAACACTGCAAAAATGTTACGTATTCAATTCAAAGTTTGTTGGGAAGTTATCGTATGTCATAGTACATACGCACATAACTAACCAGGGTCAGATCCAGCCGATCATTTTGGAGGATACTATTGTAGATTTTTGTTAAATAATACATATTTGTTAATATATTGATTATTATTTTTGTTGTGTATGTATGATACTATACATTGTTTTTTTAATAACTACATAACTAACAAAATTTTAAAGCAATTATGCCATATAAAAGATGCTAACAAACGAAAATTCTGTATTTGTCAGTGGAAAGTTTTGTTCAGGAATTCTTTTATATACTCGTTTACTTTTGAACATTCCTTTTCCAAGTAGATAAACAAATCTCAGGACAGTGGTAGCTTCTTCCAGCGCAGCATTCAGTGGCGGAGAAACGGGAAACAAACTCCCTTTCTACCAAGTGAAGAAAAAGACAAGGAAAATCTTAATATAGTATAAGAAATATTGATGTAGAACATATTTTTCAATTCCGAGGCCATTTTTAAACCTGAAAGCAGAAGTCGTGCGAAGCGAGCGCCCCTCTAAACGATTTGGAGAAACGCAAGCCGGAGCCTCACGAGACACGGATCCCCATCTGTCACACCGAGCTTACATCTCCGTAAGGAATGTCTGCGCTCGCATCGCAGCAGAGACTAATTGAGGAACGTTCTTATGGGGGAAGAGCACCCCCATTGCACCCGCTGGAGTTGACCTGACTTTCTCCCCGGGGTGAATTGCTGTGATTGGGCACTTCGCTTCAGAGTTCTAAGAGTTAGTTGTGTTGCAACTTATTTTAATAATGCATGTGTTGAGTTATTCAACCGATACTGCTATAGTTTTGAATGCTTTAACTAAGGGATGACTGTTTGGGGTTAATTACGTCGAAAACTCCGTATCTTGTTTCTTCACGTTTACTCCTTTGATTTTGTCACGCTACGTCACCTGCAATAGTACGTCAAACGGATTGTATTTCGAATCTCATCAACACTCACTCGTAGCAATAAAATAAACCCATTTGCGCTCCTCTCATTCCAGGAGTTGGCCAGGTCTCGTACTTTCGTGGTTTGGCGCGCTCACGCCCTAGTCAACGCCGCATCTCGACTTCTCTCCTCTCGCGGCGGCGGCGGCGGTGGCGGCGGCGGCGCGCCTCTGGCTATTGTTTCTCCACCTTTTTTGTAGGCCGACCGGAGAATGCGACGCAGGAGAGGGCGGGGCGGGGGCGGAGGCGGAACGGGCCTGGGCGGGCTGGGGCCGACGCGTTGTGGAGGGAGCTCGCTCCGGCCTCGTGCACGAGCGGCAGGTAGCGCCAGCCCTCGCGCACCTGTCCGGAACGCAGTGGCGGCGCGAGCCTCGGGCGGCCCCCTGGCGGCGGACCGTCTGCCGGAGGCCCTCCGCCCCCCGGACCAGCGCTTCGCTTGAAGGAAGCTGCTGGCGGCCAGGCCTTTCGAGTAATGCGATAGTCCGATTAAAATTACTATGTAATTGACACTTGGGAGACACCATACACCCATGGGAACTGCGCCGATTATAGCGCTCAAATGGGCGTGAAATATGCCGTTGCGCTCTGCTACTGGTTGTTTCGAATTTGAACAAGTGCCACCTCATTGCTTATTTAAACTCCAATATTTGTCTCCAGTGACGGATATTTATACGATTTGCTGTGTTTACAAGTACGTAAGTGGCTGCACAAAAGGTGACCACATTGTCCCACT